TTGTCACATGGGCTCTCTGTAAGGCTCCTTGAGTGTCCTTAATGTCACGGCAGCTGGCTTCCCTCAGGTGAGTGTTTCGAGAGAGAGCAAGGAGAAAGCTTAAGTGCCTTTTATGCCCTAGTCACAGAAGTCACACTGTTGTTTCCATCTTTGTTAAAGTGAGTCACTAAGTCCAGTTCACATTCAAGGGAGGGAATTAGGCTCCACTTTTAACTGTTAAAAATATCACCTGTGCAGAGTAGTTTATATTCCAGCTGTGGTAGTATACACCACATAAATGTTGTACATGATGGACCATGAACTTATCAGTGAATGCCACATAAATGTATGTGGTGTTAATACACTTATTAATGCTGTTTATTTATTTATTGTGACAGAGTCTCACTCTGTCACCTTGAGTAGAGTGCGGTGGTGTCATTCTAGCTCACTGCAACCTCAAGACTCCTGGGCTCAAATGATCTTCTTGCCTTAGCCCTCCAACTAGCTGGGACTACAGACTCGTGCCACGACTCCTGGCTAATTTTTTTTTTTTTTTTTTTTTTTTTTAGTAGAGACAGGGTCTCACTCTTACTCAGGCTGGGATGCACTTTTTAAATGAACAGTTCTCTGTTCATTTAAAAGAGAGCCCTCTTCTCTTTTCACTCTTAGAAGGCTATCTTATCCAGAGCCATGGCTTTGAATATCTCTATGCTGTTGACATAACAGATTTATATCTTTAGCCCCATATGTTTCCTCTAAGCTTCAGAACCAAACAATCATTAGACAGTCCCTTTAGGTAATCTCAAATGTCTAAATTTGAACGTTTGATCTCTTCCCTTCATTCCTTTCAAAATCTACTTATTTCCATTTCGGTAATTGTTCATTACTGAAATGTGGGAATCTTCTTTGACCCCTCACTCTCCCTTACCGCATATCTAACCCATTACCAAGTACCATTAGTCTATTTGTGAAGTATATCCTGAATCCATCCACTGTACCACTGCCACCCTAATCTTAACCACCATCGTCACTTCCCTAAATTTCCACAGTATTCTTCCTGTTGGTCTATTTGCTTTTGCCCTCTCTAGCCCATTACGTAGAATCCAGATCACAGCCACTGAGGTTTAAATCCCAGATCCTTCATATGACTGTGCTTGACCTGGTCTTTGTCTTCTCTGTCTCTCCAACCTTAACCACCACCCTATCATTTATTCTCAACATTTCAAACATTGTTCTCTCTTTGCTTTCCTCTGCCTCAGGATCTTTGCACGGGCTTTTCCCTATGCCGAGAACTTTGTCACTTCTCAGCGTTGCTTCCCTTCACCCCTCCATCTAGCATAGATGAGGTCATTGCTCCGTAGTCCTCTAGGACCTGGCACTTTTCCTCTGCATTTACTACAGGTTATGATTATGTATCATTCGTGTTGTCTTGTTCAGTGTCTGAATATCTTATTTGTCTTTTTTAATGACTATGAACTCCATGAAGGCTGGATCTCTTTTGCTCACAACACTGTATTCTTGGTGTCTGCTCTAGAATCATGCATAACATAGGTACTTAATAAACATTCAGGGAATAAATTAGTATTCAATGGCAAAAACGCTGTTCACGCAGGACTTCAGCATTGGAAGGGATCTGGTCTTCTTTACTGTCGTGTCGGTCATGTCCTTGACAAACAGGCATTCAGACTTTGCTCCTTTCATACTCTGTGAGTAAAGACCCCTGGTTCTTCTAGTTGTATCTCAAGTGGAGTAACTTTCTGTGTCCTTTGCATTCCCATCATTCTTCTCTAAAGTGCTGTTTAACAGGCCTGACCAGATGGAATAAAGGAAGATGGTTATCCTCTTTGGTTATAGCAGTGTGTTTCTATTGATGGCTGTTCTCCATACAAGTTATCACAAGTTTTTTGTCTGTAAAAATTTCTTGCAGATAGTATTGTCATGGGTAGCACCTGTTACTTCCTGTGCTGGGTGGGCAAATGCGTTATAAGCATGCATGAGAGGAGGAGAGTTTTATTGAGCATCTACTTTGTACCAGGCTCTCCTAAATGGTTTATAATATGTATTTTGCAATATATAATATACACAAAATATCCAGCAGGGCAGCATAAGGTAGCAGTTAACACATGGAATCTGGAATCAGATTTCTTTGATTTGAATTACAACCCTACCACTTACCAGCTGTGTGATCTTTGATAAATTCCTTAAAGTCTACTTGCCTGTTTCTTCCTCTGTAAAATTAAGATAATTGTACCGTTTTATAAGATTAGTTAATATATGCAAAGCATTTATAATGGTGCTGGCATGTAGAGGTGAATATAAGTGTTAGTTATTGTTTATTTCTCAAAATAACTATGGATTAATAAATATCACTCCAGATTTATTTGTTTTTATAGACAGGATCTCACTGTTTCCCAGGCTGGAGTATGGTGACTATTCACAGGTGTGATCATGGCTCACTGTAACCTTGACCTCCTGGGCTCAAATGATACTCCCGCCTCAGCCTCCTGAGTAACTGGGACTATAGCGGCATGGCACTGCACCTAGCCTGAACTAGTTTAAAACTGCACCTAGTTTTAAAGATGAAGAAATGCATCCAGAGAGGTTAGGTTACTTATTTAAGGCAGATCCAGGATTTGAACTTGTGCCAGGGGTAGCAGGGTCCTGGACATTTTTGTAGAAGGAATCATGCAGTCCCCTTTCTCTGAGAAGAAAAGAACCCAGGGTCTCATGGGCAGCTCTGTAGGGTGCCTTGGTGGTGGCACTTTAAATAAATTAGCTTAAAGAGTAACACTGGTGACACTGAAAGATGTAACAAGTTATAGCAGTCTCTTACCCAAGACTGTGAGCTCACTGAAGCAGAAACAGGCATACCCATGTTTGTATTTCTGGTACCTTAGGCTGGTCTGTAATTTGCACTCAACAGATGTTGGTGAATGAGTAAGTGAAAGTTTGGAGAGGGGCTGAGAGCTAGCAACGGAGGCAGGAATAAAGCTAGGATTTCTGGCGTGACTGCAGAGATGGTGCTGCCTTTCCCTATGATAGCCGATAGGGGGGTAGGAGCAGGGCTACAGCAGAGAGAAGGAAAGACGTGAGTGGGATTCACACAGCTGGAGTGTAATCCTAGTAGAGATATTTAATGGGCAAACAGAAATGAGGAGAGAAATGAGGGTTGGAAATATTCTGGAAACTTGTCTTGAATTTGAAACTTGGATCCCTAGAATCATAATTGAAGAATTTTAAGAAGTTTTCTGAAGATATGCTGTTAAATCACATTACAAATATTATTATTTGAGACTTTATAGCTTATTCTCTCAGCATTATGTAATGGTAAACAATTTAATTTTATAGTAGAGAAATAAGAAATTGCAGAAATTTTAGAACTAAGTCATATATAAATGATGCCTCACTGTAAACCTTATTTGCCTCAGTAATACCTTTGGAGAGCCAATTAAAGTGCAGATTTTTTTGTTGTTATTTTTTTGAGACAGAGTCTCTCACTCTGTCGCCCTGGCTAGCGCAGTGGCATCATCGTAGTTCACTGCAACCTCAAACTTATAGGCTCAAGCGATCCTCCTGCCTCAGCCTCCCGCCTCAGCCTCCCGAGTAGATGGGACTACAGGTGCACACCACCATGCCTGGCTAATTTTTCTATTTTTAGTAGAGACGGGATCTTGCTCTTGCTCAGTCAGGCTGGTCTCAAATTCCTGGCCTCAACTGATCCTCTCGTCTAGGCCTCCCAAAGTGTCAGGGTCATAGGCATGAGCCACTGTGACGGACCAAAGTGCAAAATTTTTAGGTAGATAAAACAGCTCAGTTTTGTTTTTTTTTTTTCAGGTTATTAATGGTAGAACTCACACACCAGGGGTGATTATGTCATAAATAAGCAAAACCTTTTGCATTCAGGAATAGTTCAGGCTGAAGTCAATAAAATCAAACTGCCTGAAGCAATAGGATGGGGGAGAAATAGAATTATATTTATCTTGATACACAGCAGGCTTTTTTCCCTATTACCTATTTAACTATTTTACTTTGAGGCCTTTAAAGTTCACTGTCTATATTAATAATCGCTAGACCTTAATTGAAAAGGTCATGTTTCATGTCATCCATATTAAAAGCCCAATTTTACCCTAATTAAGTCAGATTTACAATATTTTAGGAAAGTGGTTTTATTTAAGATACATTTTAGAGACCATTATCCTAAGTGAAATATCACAAGAGGAAAAACAAGCACCATGTGTACTCACTATTAAACTGGAACTAACAGATGAGCACACAAGTGCACAGAGAAATATAAAACTTAGTGGAAGTCAGGCAGTGGGGAGGGGGCAGTAGGGGAGGGACTAAAACCTACCTAATGGGTACAGTGAACACTATTTGTGTGATGGGCACACTTACAGCCATGACTCAAGCATTACAAAAACAATACATGTGACAAAAAATATTTGTACCCCCTTAATACTTTGAAATTTTTAAAAGAATACATTTCTATTTGCATTTGCTTTAATGATGAAGTACACTGCTTATTTAAATATGTATAATTTTCTAGGTAGGTTTTCTTTTCTATCAGAATAAATTATTTATTAGAAAGATTTAAGGTATATTTATTTCATCTAGGATTTGAAAGAATATTGATGAAGAATTTAAAATATTTAAAAGTATATTTAAAATTTAACTTTTCTTGTTTTCTTCATAATATATTTAGGAAATTTTTATAGTAATAAAATAACTTAATTACTGTAGAGCAGCCAGAAAAGACTACTGAGATTATTTAGTGTACTTTTCTTGTGTTACATATGACTAATCTGAGGTCAGGGGAGGTTGCAAATTATTATTAAATTATTTAAGCTTTGGAACTACAGTGCCTTTTTTAAAAAAGGAAAAAGAAAACAAGAATAGCTTTAATCTTTAAGAATGTATTGCATTGTTTAGAGGTATGCTTAGACGTTTATTTTCCTCTCAGTTTTTGAAAACTTTCCAAAATTCAGTTATGTTCATTACCTTCTTAATATTTTGTCTTTCAGGAATAAGGAGAAAGCAGTGGGAGTTGGAGTCATTGTCAAGTGATTACGGCTTTTTACGAAAAAATCTCATTGAATAATAGTCATTTAAATTAGTGAAATAGCAGGACCAGTTATTGAAGGTGACAGTGTACAGGAAACATTATAATTGAACAATGACTCAGCTATATATCAGATTATTGGGAGCCTATCTGTTCATCATTTCTCATGTTCAAGGTAAATTGATATTCATTTTAGTAATTTACTTCTATATGTAAAAAGCACTATTTTTTACTACTGTTCTTTCAATTCATATCCCTTCTTGAGCAGTTAGGCCCAGCATACGAGCACAGCTTCGAAATAAAGAGGCAAAGAACAAATACATGCCAAATAATTTTAGAACTGACTGTGATAGAAACATTTTCAAGTATTTTTAAAATCTCAGCCTCTCTGAGCGTATTTTTTCCTCCATAATATAGGCAATTATGATACACAGCATCAGGTCTTATGAGGACTAGATGAGATAAAGTATATAAAGCACTTAACCTAGTGCCTAAAAGACAGGGGAGCACTCGAGGCTGAGCTTCAAAATTCCTGTCTCCTTTAAAACAAGAAGGAATACATGTAAATAATAATTTAAAAATCATTTTATTATTGTTAAAAGACTTTAGAAAGATAAACGGCACTTGTTTATGCTAAACTTTCTTAATAGAGTACTGCAAGTTTATTTATGACCAGTATTGTAATTTTGCTAGTATGTGTTCACAACTTGGAACTGTCCAACAGGAAGTTATTACAATGACTATTAGGACCAGATGGACTGTGTTTGCACATGAGCTTTTTCCTGTATGGTTTAATTAGGATAATATTTTAAACTGAAGAGAAGATAATACTGTTTTGCAAAAGGATTTTAGATAGAATTTATTGGGCATCTTCATTCTCAAGTTTTTGACTTAACAGGTTGTTCTTTCATCGTGTTTCATTCATAGTGGTATGGATTAATATCTGCCCACAAGAAGAAACATGATTAACACCATAAAGCTTTGATATTTTCATTTTAAAGTATGAACATACAATGGACTCTATGGCTTCTTTGTAAGTTGCCTTGGTATTCTGACAGTATCCTCATTATTACCGTGCTCAGAATAGAGCCCTCTTGAAAAAGCCACTTTTATTTGTGAAACACCAAATTATTTAATACAACACCTTTATTTTAATATGTTATATGCCTGTTGATCAGCATCAACCAAAGCTGTCATAGTTTTGAAGATGAAGTGTTTAATAGTAACGTGTATATTTGCTATTTCACTCCCAGGTAATTTCCATTTTGGCATAAAAAATTTTAAATATGTTTAGATCACATATTGGTAATATGATAGAAAATTCTCATTTACCACCACAAATTAATTTGCTCTATAATAAACTTTTATTAGATGGAATAAATTGGTAATTAGTTATCATGTATAATCGTGTGTAAGCAAAAAATCCCCAGTATTACATTTCTCTAATGAAGAGCAAAATTTATTATATTTCCAGTCAAAAAATTATTTTGATAGTTGCTTCAAATGATAACACAAAAATGTTTGCTCTGAAAGATTAGAAAACTGAAACCAATGCAGAAAAGATATTATTATTTCTTAGTGATCACTACGAAGGATTGCAGAATGGTATTAGTGGAAATAACTTTTGACTTAATCTCTAGCTTTATCTTGAATTTTGGCTTAAGAAAGTAAATTTCTTTGCTTGGTTTCCTTGTTATAACATAGAAATAATGCTTTTCCTAACAGGAATTTATATTTATTGATTTAGAGATAGGGTCTCGCTACGTTGCCTAGACTGGAGTGCAGTGGCATGATCATAACTCACTGTAACCTTGAACGCCTAGGTTCAAGTGATCCTCCCATATCATCTTCTGAATAGCTGGAACTACAGGTGCACGCCACTGCACCCAGCTAATTTTTTTTTTCTTCTGTAGAGACGAGGTCTGACTATGTTGCCAGGCTGGTCTCAATCCTGGCCTCAAATGATCTTCCCACCTCAGCCAAAAAGGAAATTTTTGAGCATCAACTGTTAGGTATAGATTTAAGTGATTTACATTGAGGTAAATTACTCAGGTTTGAATCGAAAAATGAGTCATTTGATATTAACATCTGACAGATGCTTACTCCTTTTTTGTTGGTCACAAATTTTAGAATTGGATTTTAGCTTCAAGTAACTTACTACTCAACTAAAAGTGACTTAAATGAATAAGAGGTTTATTTTTAATGTAGGTGGTGGGTGTTTGCTGGTGTTCATTCAGTAACTGAGTAGTGTCAAGGTTGACATCTCTAATTTTCTTGGCGTTTCCCTCATGGTTACAAAATAGCTGCTGTTGTCTGCATTTGAGGTAGGAAAAATGGGGAAAGGATCAGACTTATAATATCACACAAGAAGTCTGAGGGTAAGGGGACTGCATAGGATGTTAATTATATGGCTCATCAAGACACAGATTCTAAGGTGGCTGCGGTGGCTCACGCCTGTAATCCTAGCACTCTGGGAGGCTGAGGCACAAGGATCACTTGAGCTCAGGAGTTCAAGACCAGCCTGAGCAAGAGCAAGACCCCATCTCTACAAAAAATAGAAAAATTAGCCAGGTGTGGTGATGCGCACCTGCAGTCCCAGCTACTCGGGAGGCTAAGGCAGGAGGATCACTTGAGCCCAGGAGGTTGCAGTGAGCTATGATGACGCGACTGCACTCTACCCGGGGTGACAGAGCGAGACTCTGTCTCAGAAAAAAAAAAAAGATCCAGATAATTTCTCTATTTCAGTTGTGTCATCCTCCAAATATCAGTTTAGCTATAGGTTAATTCCCTGCACAGCCACAGTGTGGCTGCC